CTGCTGGGAAATGGCCCTCAGTCTCAGCCCCACGGCAGAGTACTCTATTGGCGAGTTCCTGGCGCGTCACGGTTGTTAAACCTCCACCACAGGGACGCGTTTTGCAACTTTGGGTTTGGGATGAGGGAGGGGTTGAGCGGGGAAGAATAACCCTGAATACGCGTAAAACAGCCTGCTCCCTGCTTTAATGCGCTTCCATACCCTGCCTCGGTGAAAGATGTCGATTGGCATCGCAGTCATTTTGTTTGGCATCTATTGTCGAAACCAGATTTCGTTAATTAACGTAGGGTCGATGTTATGCTGCTTCAGACGTTTGATGAGTATGACTACGAGAGAAAGGAGTGTTAGTTGATGTGCGCGACTTTTAAAGGGTGCAGTGTAAACATCGGGCTGGCTTCAAGGTGAGGTGGAGGTAACAACGCAGCCCCCATGTTAGGCATGCTGGACACGGCTTGCGCGGTTTTGGATGTCATACTCGGACGGTTACCGCTATCGGCTTAGCCGACTAGTGTCGATCGTCAAATTTTTGTAAGTGCGATTGCTCCATGAAATATTCACGTCAAATTCAAAGCCGGCACATCTGAATGACTCTTCCGAACGTAGACGGATTGTATATTGGTCACATTTTTGGGTGCAATATTTAGCCGGTTTATTTTCAATATTTGATAAGATATCGTGGAAAAGTAATGCAACTTGCTGCCGTCTGTAGAACCCAAAACATCGCTGCGTAAGGCCATAACGCTCAGACAAGAGGAAAAGCTAGGTAAGAGTCATCGAGACACATCAATCTTGTAATTAAAAACATGTAGCATGTAGAAAGAACAGAACATACTCAAATAAACCGAGTAGGAACGTAAAGCTTTTTAAGTGTGGCTAGATCAGCCAGCTGCACTTAACTGAACGTGACGTCTTAGCTTTCTCTTTCTTTGTTCCTTTTATCTGTGAAACAATAAGTAGAAACCCTCTTCAAAATTGGTGTAATTTTGAGCTCCCACTTCCAATGTCTTCCTAGCACTCAACCCCAGAAGGTTAGGGGGCAAACTCACTGTTGAACGGTAGGGGGGAGGCAGCGGGCCACCCAAAGGAATATAATTTGACACCCGTGTAAACGAGGTTTTCTTACCACCTTCATTTGACCAATGCCTCCAGAAAATTGAAATCCGAATATTGTCGGGAAAGGAGCTCCCAACTCATTAAACCTAAGGATGCTTTACTCTCATACGAGGCGGGCCTCCCAATGTACTCCCCGGTGCTTCCTATCTGTAATCCCAATCGTCACGATTTACCGTACCTAATACAGGTAGCCAAGGAATTTATGGTCCAGCGTGATCTCCGCATTTGTCACAGGAGCGAAAGTCAAAGCTAAATTATTGCGGTCAACTCGTTGGGCCTCTCAAGATTTGGTCTGTCATTAGCCACAGCCCGCCGCAATGGTCTGCAGCCGTGCCTGAGGTGATTCAGTGCTCTCAGCATTATGTCGCGTGTTGTTCTTGGTCACTGTTATCTTATCGCTGCTTAAGCCCGGTTCCAACCAAGCCTTCCGGCCCGGAAAACCAGGCTGCCTCGTCCGGAATTCCGGGCCGCAATGCATCTGGCGGTAAGAATGCAGGGGAAAAACTGGATCTCTGCTGACCGTCCGGCCGGCTTCTCCCACCGGCCGGCAAGGACCGGACCGGGTCGTCATGGGAAGTTAACTTCAGTTCAGGTTTTGACCGGCGCCAACAAAAAAACAAAAAAAAACAAAACAAAACGGAAAGGCCAGGGCAATCATTGTGATGCTCACGTTTCGCGTCAAAGTGCGGCCAAGGAGACAGGCGACAAGGTGAGGCAAGTATATATTTAAATTGCAAACTTGCTGGTGACGTCTCTCTGTCTTTCTGTTTGTCTCTCTGCCTCTTTGTTTGTCTGTTTGTGTCTCTCTGTCTCCCGTCTCTGTCTCTCTGTCTCAGCCTTGCTCTCTCTCCCTCTTTCTGTCACTCTGCTTCTGCATCTGTCTGTGTCTCTGTCTCTGTCTCTGTCGCTCTTTCGGTCTCGGTCTCGGTATCGGTCTCGGTCTCGGTCTCGGTCTCGGTCTTGGTCTCGGTCTCGGCCTCTGTATCTGTCTCTGTCTCCGTCTCTGTCTCTGTCTCTGTCTCTGTCTCTGTCTCTGCCTCTGTCTCTGTCTCTGCTCTGCCTCTGTCTCTGTCTCCCTCTCTCTCTCTCCGTCTCTGTCTTTCTCCCTCTCTCTCCCCCTCTTCCCCCCCTCTCTCTCTCTCTCTCTCTCCCTCACTCTCTGTCTCTTTGCCTCTTTCTGCCTCTTTGTCTCCCTGTTTCTCTGTCTGTCTGTCTGTCTGTCTGTCTGTCTGTATCTCTGTCTCCTTGACTCTCTGTCTCCCTGTCTCTCTATCTCTCTGTCTCTGTATCGTTGTCTCGCTGCCTCTCTGTACTACCTGTACTACCTAACTATCGGCGAAGACCTCACACCACCTGAATGACCCACATAGATGCCTCTATCACTTTTTTTCTAAATTACACCGTATGCAACATTTCCACTAAAAAATAGCTGCGCATGAAAGTATCTCTTTTGCGAAGTGTATTTCGAAAGGTACATTCGAAAGTAACCTCACGTATTATTGTGAATTCCCGGACGGGTGCTGCTAGGTTCCATAAAGAGATCCCCGTTTACCAAATATGAATACTTTCTACACATTGGCGACAACTTTAATTTTTTTTGTCGCCCCGGTCCATCCACCTGGCTTTCCGGGCCGGCAAACTTGGTGGGAACTGGGCTTAACACAAAAAACGCTGCTTTGACAGATTTAATGCTAGAAATTGAGTTAACGCTGCTTTTAATTTTGTGATACCGAATGGAAGTGACGGAGTATTGAGAATCAGTTTTTAGCCAAGAAGCGGGTTTCTTTTTCTTGTTCGTTCTCAGCCGGATTGGCTCCCTTCTTCCCTCCCCTGTTTTAAATCGCGCCATTCAGGTCAATAAATAAGCCCAAAACTCTAGTGTCATATATTTGTTCTTGTGAATTAAATGGACTAAACATTGAAATGACAGAAACTGAGCTATCACTGGCCCATTGTGTTCGCACGGTACGATAAAAAGGTTCGAAGAGGTACTTTCACCCTTTGAAATCGCTCGCCAATAAATCCGATTCTCAACAAGCCACACCGGGGACCGGTCACCGGATCATGCGGACAGTGCCGGATGACCGTTGAGAGGCGGTATCTTATCCTGCGCTGCTGTCACACCAATCGATCGGGTCCACCGGACGGGGACGGCCAGCCACGGCTCATCGGCAGGGCAAACCCGGGCCAGCCTCCTCTGGCAGCGTCTACCGCGCCGGAGGTGTCATCGGCGGCGGCTCAACTCACGGCCATTCTTCCCGTGCGTCGAAGCGTGTTGAACGCGCCACTCTGGACAGGCTTATAAACCTGGGCAACGGGGTTGGGGGCGGGGGGGGGGGGGGTCTTTGTCGCGCTACCTCCATGGAAGATTGGTGGGACATAGGCAGAATGATTACGTAAGTTGCCTAGTGCATTTGTGAGGAGCATTATGCATATAGATAAAACGGTATTAATTGTCTTACCCCTCGTAGAATAGCCAGGAGGACAGATACTGATATTTCGGCTACATGTCTGTATCGAAACGAATGCCAGTAGTGATATTCCAATAGTGATTCATTCGCATTGCCCACAGATAGTGACTGCTGAAATTCGTTTTGATAAAGACACATGGCCGAAATATCAATGCATCTATCTGTCCATTCTTTTGTTTATTCTAGAAAGAATAACGCTTTTAATGCTGTGTTATCCATAGACAGAATAAGCTAAAAAGGTGGGTTTGCTCTCCCACTTTTTCCGAGGCATAGGTGTCGCTCCCGCTTTGTGTTCCCCCTCCCCGGCTTTTCCTGTTTGTCTCGCCCTTTTTCGTTCAGCTGCGACAGTTCACCAACCGAGGCATTCAGCGACTGGTGTAGAGCGCGGAAAATGCAAAAATCTATGAGCTCAACTGATTAAACCATTCAAGGTCCGCTGTCCGACCGATTGATCAGCCCATTTTCCCTCGAAACTCAAAGTAAAAACCGCGCTTTGCGTTCTGCCCTTGAAAGACATGCCAACCCCTCACATCTAACAGGCGCTGGAGCTGCCTGTCCTTACATGCGACGCGGCCGCCCGGCGCGTCGGCACCGACGCGGCGGCGCGCGGCGCCGCGCAGTCACCGTCGGAGGGTGCGTCAGGGGCGGGCAGTGTCAGGCGGGTCCCTGCGCGGAGAGGAGCCCCGTGCGGCGTCCACCGGCCGAGGGAGAGCGCCCGAGGCGCGCGGCGGTGACGAGCAGGGCGCTCCAGAAGCGGCCACGGTGGAAGAGCGTGGGAAGCGTTGTGGGACGGTGAAGACGTTTACAGACGCGTCGCTTCAGAACGTCTCAGTCCTGGCTCTGAAGCTCGACACTGGCGACGCAACCAGGCGGCGTAGAGGAAGTGCAAGCTCCAGGAGCGGACGACGACAAACGGCGCGGGGAGCATTACACAAATATGAAACATGAAGAGGCCCTGATGGGTGCAAAAAGCACGTTGTAGGTTTGTGCTTCGTTGGCGCCTCACACTCTGAATGAGAGGCATAAGAGTGCAGGCAGGCTCGAGCCGTACCAGGCTCTGACCATCTACGCTCTACGCTCGTAAGAGCGCAGACAGGTTCGGGTCGTGGCAGGTCTGACGTCTACGAGCCATCTACGCTCTGGGCACAGGCGCGGCCTGATGCAAAGGAGACCGTTTCCAAATGACGCCAGGAATTGCCGCATGAACGGGGGGCACGACGGTACCGTTGAGCCTGGGCGGAGGGGCGACACTCACGGTGAGTTCTAGTACCCATTCACAGGAGACAAGCTAGTGCGAATACAGTTTGTCTCCAGAACGTAAGCCTCTAGGGAGCGGAGAGCGCCGCGGTCACCAGGTTCGGGATCGCGCCGGGCCGTGAGAGTCCGAGGCCAACGCCAGCGGCCGGATAGACGGTGATGTGGGAAGCGTACGAGGTGGTTGTGTGCGTGCTAACGGTGCTGAACGGCGTCGTCTCCGTGTGCGGCAACTTCACCTTCATCGTGATGTTCTGCCGCAAGCGACAGCTGCTGACGCCAATGAACGCCTACCTAGTTTCGGTCAGCGTGGCCTCGCTCGTCGTCGGTCTGGTGGTAATCAGCGGTATCAGCTACTTCAGCCGACCGTACCACCTGGGCTTCGACACGCCGCATGTCTGCCTCTACCAGTGGGTCAAGGCCTGCTTGATCACGCTCTCCTCCATCGGTATCATCTACTGCATGCTGGCCATCGCCGTGGAGCGGTACCGCACGTGCATGGGTCCGCGCTCGCGCGGCGCCTCCCTCTCCAGCACCTTCGTGAGCATCGGCGTCATCTGGGCGGCGGCGCTCGCCTACACGGCGGCCACCAAGTACCTGACGTTCCAGCGGCTGGAGGCGTTCGCCGTGCTCATCGACCGCGGGCGCGGCACCAACGTGACGGCGCCGCCGCCCGCCGCTGTCACGCTGAAACTCTGCCACTACTGCGCCAGCGCCGCCCGCAACGTGTGGCACTCGCACCTCGTCTACTTCTCGTTGGGCTACGTGCTGCCGCTGGCGCTGATGACCTACCTGTACGCCTGCGTCATCCGCCGCCTGGCGCGCAACCTGCGTCGCAACAGGCACAACAACACAGAGCGCGCCAAGATGCGCGCCATCAAGGCCATGGTGGTGAACGTTTGCGTGTTCGCCGTCAGCTGGGTGCCGTTCTTCCTGGTGCAGATGATGGCGCCGCTGTACGCGCCGCGCCTGCTCGCCGGCGGCCGCACGGAGGTCATCGCGCCGAGCACGCGCCTCTTCTTCGACTTCTGCGTGCTGTTCGGCACCTCCAACAGCTGGGTGCACATCATCGTGCTCTTGCGTTACACGTCGCAGTTTTCGGCGACCGTGCGCGAGCTGAGCGCGTACGGGTCGCGCACGGCGCGACGCGCGGTCTCCAGCGTGTCGCGCCGCCTGCGACGCGGCGGCGCGCGCCGGCCGTCGGCGCTAAGGACCCGCTTCAGCGCCGAAACCTCGCAGACGGTGGTGGCCGTGTGCCAGCAGCACCGGCTCTCTGTGCAGCTCCGCCTGGCCGAATTCAAAGAGGGCGTCGAGGTGTGAGCCGCGGTGAGCGGCTCCGACTCGCCCGCCCGCGCCGCGGGAGAGCGCGCAGAGCTGGGGGTGCGGGGTGTTGTAAGGTACGGCGATTCACGAACGGCGGAGGGACGTTCCGTGACGGCCGTATATAGTTGCGAGCGAGAAATGTGGCACGCACGGGTATGACGATGGAACAAAAGCGAGTTACACTAGTGGAAAGCAAAGTGGGAGAAGTGACCTCAAGTCCTGATCTATTCGTGCCATTAATTTGTGTTGTTCATTCATGTAGTTAAGCTATTGCCATCATGAATTGAAAGAAAAATAATTACTGGGAACGCTGACTCCCGGCTGACCACAGCCTGTCCGTGACGTAACTCGCATAACTCGCATGCCGGCCGGCGCGCGCCGCCACGCGTCCGTGACGTAACTCACATAATACATAGACGCTAGTTCAACTGTGTAATGCTTGTTAGTGCACGAAATGGTGCAGAGGTGTAGCCACTATGTGTTACCGGTGCTCACGAGTCGCATATATTTGTCATGGTAGGACGTGGGATTTTTTCACTGACTAATCGCTAAGGACAATTTATAGGCATTATTAGGTATGCCACCAAATTTTACGTGGCTCCTTTTTGTCCAAGGAACCCATGTACGTCCTGCGTATCCAACACCGTTTAGCGGAGCAGGGTTCGGCTATGTAAAGACTATGTAAGACATGACCAGTTTACCAAGACAAGCAAGTCGAGAGAGATGCCTGACATAACGCCCTCGTCCCTCTACCGTCTTGTCTTGACTTTCCCGTCTCCAAGTTTGTAAGCTACTTCGCTCCAGTCGCCTTACGTCTGTCAGCACAAGTGTCACTTGCCATACTTTTGAACAGGCTTAAGTCTACCAAAGAAGCGTTGAGGCAATGTAGCTCAGCGGTGCTTTGAAGAAAAAACCTGAGAATTTATTCTGCGTCGCATTATTTGCTCGTACCTGGCTGCATGGAGGAATCATCCATACCGTTCCGTGAATGACAGTGACTTTTAAAACCTGACCTGAAAACTCATCTGGCAATTTCGGTCCAATCTCAACCCGGTTTTCCTCACCAGGTTTATATACATCCCGACCGGACATGCGTACGATGGACTTGTACGCTACACTAGCGGCTGCGATTTTCTTACTCTTACATCGGGTGGCCAGGATGTCCGTCTCTATTCCCGAACCTGAGGGCATAGGTGGAGCCTCATAACAAAACCTTGACTGGAAGGGGAGCCAATGTCTTTAAAACCTTGAAAATGTCTGCTGTTTCAGTGGCTTGGAAAATATCTTGGTTGATTGGAGTTACATCGTGATAAGAGGAACGTAATCCGTGCCGGTCAAGGCAGCTCTAAAGATAAACAGACTTCTAGCCTTGATCCGAGGTGGACGCTGTCCAGATATTCCAACTGGTCAAAGCTCGGCTTTCCTGTCGTTCCACGCGACCATCAACTGTACCGAATCCATGTATAATCAGCCTGTGGCCAGACCCAAGGATCCATGTTTTGTCAGTTTGCAATGGCACCACTGTAGCGCCGCCTGGGCTGGCACGTGGCCTCACTAGCGCCCTCTGCGCCGGGTCCCACGGGACGGGTCTGCCAATGGCGCCCCCCTGAGTTCGGCGGCTCTCACGGCTATCACTGTCTCTGCCTGGCGGCCGGCCCTGCTCGCCACACGCTGACCGCCGGTCCGACCGCGCGCCCTCGGAGTGGCGCACACTCACCGGCCACAGCGCGCTCACAGGCACGCGACGCGCCACGAGTCTGGCGCGGTCGGCGGCCCGCGGTCGGCCCGCCGGCCGCGGTCTCAGGTCACGGAGTGAGGTCCGCGGTCAGTTCAACCGTACGATGCTCGGTCGGCGGACAGACCACATGGCAGACGGCTGGGGTCGGCGGCCGCACTGACGCCTGTAGAGACTTGTTCAGCTGTGTCGGGTGGGTGCACAATAGAAAAACATTGATGGTGGCCGCGGCGCACCGAATTTGATGAACAACTGTTCGAAAATCAGACGAATGAGGCAATCAAATTATAGTCCCAAACGTGGGGATTCAAAACATCTAGTGATTTACGGGATATCTTTCTCATCAACCGTTTTGCCGCTTACGTCACCGACAAAGCAAATATGAGTTGCACTTTTGTTTCTTTTGACGTAAACAAATGCCCTGTGTAGAAGGAAGAAATAATTACAGGCATCACAGCAGTGTCGCATACACACACACATACACACACAACAACACACACACACATGTATTATATAATATATATATATATATATATATATTAATATAGTATATATATGTATGCATGTGCATACATATATGTATATCCGTTTTAATAGGTAGTATTACGGTGCTAT